GAACAAACTGCGACTCCGCGAAGAGCACAGCTCACCTCCTGGCCGCGTGTCACAGACTCTGGCCCATCAGCTAAAGCTGAGACCATGGACAACCCTCCCAGTTTGGGACCCTTCCTGGTGCTCAGTGACAGCACTTTGCAGCACATGCTGCGGGGACACACGTACGGAGTGTTTCCACTGCTGACGGGACAGGTCTTAAGTTGTCCCGGCGCCGCCCTCAACATCTCTGCCGGCAGCGTCCCCTCCATCATGGAGCTTCTCCACTGGCAATTTGGCCTCTTCGGGCCGCACAAATTCAAGGCGGCAGTTCAGAGTCAGCCGGTGGCCTCCATTTTGGAGAGCCACCTTGACGGACAAATCAACGTTCGCTTCATTCCGCTGTCAAGAAGCCTGCGCCCGGAGAAGCAAATCAATTATGACTACCTGATAGACGGCAGGGTCCAATATGGATTTGCGGACAAGAACCTGCCCAATCAGGAAATCATGGATTTGGCACAGATGCCTGGTGTAGGAGGGGTAGAATGGCTCTACAACTCCAAGAATCTCCACTTCCGCCCTGATGTCGCGGACATCGTCATCCCGGCACTTGTCACAAGAGCCATTGAGGAAATGCGCAACACCCCAGGACTGCCTGTCCTCGTGGTTGCTGGCTGGAATGCCCGCCAGCAGGACATGCATGTCGAAATGCTTGCTGCACAGGCTCTGTCACAATGCCGAACTGTCCGAGATCTTTCGGAGGTAGCCATGCAGTACGGACATGGCCCCTGGGGGATGCGCTTCACGCATCTCCCAGAATGGGAGGCCACCCCCGTCCCGGCCCTCCTCTTCCAGACCTACGTCCACGACGACAAACCGGAGCCAGCCCAAGTTGCGGCCAAAATGTTTGCCGGCTTCACCCGAAAATTCTGTGATGATGGTGTCCTTCGGGCTACCCTGCGGCAACTCGCCGGCAAGTACGGCTCCAATCTGCTGGATCGCCTCAGTCAGCCAGCTCATAGAGCAGACGTGTTCCGCTACGTCTACCACTACCAGCACGGCGGCCTCTATGTTGATATCAAATGTGGCTTTGTGGTACCCTGGGAACAGGTACTCAAGCTTCTAGCAGCAGATTGGAGCACAGCTCACTCAACGAAGGCAGGTGAAGTGGGTCACAGACCCTCCCCACCTGGCCAACTCCCAAATGAGTTCATGGTCATGGCCATTGGAGTCAAAGGAGATCACATCTTTCAAGGCATCATCTATGGCAAGCCCAGACACCCTTTGATGAGGGAAGCCATACAGCACGCCTTCAGCCGTCAGGTTATGACAGCGAAGGCGAACTTGGAATACATGACCTTCTGCAAATTTCTCTGGCAGATCTTGGGTCGAGACCTTGGACACTCCCCTCAAGCGGGATGGAATGTTTCCACCAAATTTGGCCCCATCTACCTGTTCTTGGAGCGCTGGGACAAGCGAGTGAAGAACAAAAAGTACGACAATGATGGCCACTACTTCGTGACTACCAACAACACGACAGTCGCCTACACCAGGTGCTGGAAGTGGCTGAAGGGATTTCAGGGAGACCCCACCACCAAAGAACGAACCGATCGCATGCTGCAGAGCCAGCTCCCCGACATCTCCCTGGAAATCCAGTCTGATAGACCCGAAGAGCACAGCTCACCACAGCCACTTAGGTCACAGACCACGGCAACCGCCACATCGGCTCCTCCTCCTCCCACTCAGGAGGATATTGAAACTTATGTAGCCGATAGCATCCAGCACAACTCCTTTGCAGAGATCATGGCCACGGTCCGTGAGACCCACCACTATAACCAAGACCTTACAGAGCAGGATGTGCTGGAGCTCATCCCTCGCGGATTGGGGCAAGTGGAAGTTTCAGGAGACATGTGGCTATGCTGTTTGCACTGCCGGAAGCACAACAGGCAGGTGCAATTCAGTACTAGTCACGGCCTCAAAAACCACAAAGCAGAAGCATAACCCCACACCCAGCGCCATGCCGGCATCCGAGACACCTCTTCCTCCCCCTCCCCCAAAGCTCCCACAGGAGATTCCTCTCCCCCCCAGCAGTACCAGGACCAGAGGTACAGACAAAGCAGCCGGCTTTGAGCTGCCGCCCTCTCCCCCGTGCCCTTTCACTTCCTCAGCAGCTGAAAAGGCAGCTTTCAAAGCAAGCCAAGCAGAAACACCGAAGGCGGCCCCAGCGCTTCCGGCTAAGGCCCCGCCAACGGTGCCCATCCCTTGCCCTCAGCCTCCAATTTCCTCCTCGGCAGCTCCAGCTCCCCCTCCGGCGATCCCTGTTTCCCCGATCCCTCCGCACCCTCCCAAGTCCGTTTCTCCTCCAGCCCCTGCCACCCAGGCCGCTCCGCGTTCCCACACGCCCCCTCCTCCTTCTTCCCGCCCCCCGTCAGCATATGAGCCTCCGGAATCCAATGCGGAACTCGTCGGCTATGTCCCACAGCCGGCTCCACAACAGACAGTACGTTACACGCGGCAGGAGCTGGCTCAGCTGCTGAGCTCCCAGTCCCACCAGGACTGGATTCGGGCCTTGGCTTCCATCAACATCCTGGTGGCTCCGGTCATTCTTGGCGGCCTCACCAACCATGAGCAACAGACCCTTTGGTCTACCAGGATGGAAGCACTCCGCGAAGTTCCCCCGCTGTTCTCTGCCATCAAGTCGGTAAGGACGCAAACAGGCCTCACATGGGACACCGCCATGTCGGTGAGGCGGGTCCTCACCAGCGATGGGAAGGTCACTATAGCCACAGGCGCGGGAGACGCCTATCGCGAGCTGGATGCCCCCACAAAGGTGCATGGCCTTATCCATGCCTGCTTCAACAAGATGTGGGACGAAAAGGCCTTTCAGCAGCACTTCCCCTCGTGGGTCGAGTTCAACATGATCGCCACCACCATCGTGGCAGTCTACAATGAGACGGCCAAATCAGCCGGACTCCCAGCTCGTGTCTTTAGGGTCAAACCCGACAAAAATGCCTACTCCATCATGAAGATGCGGATCCAGCACGACAAGGGGCACGAGGAGGACAAGCGCATGGCCAAACTGGCTGCTGCTGCCCCCAACAAGCGCCCACAGATGCAGGCAGCTGACACAGAAGGCAAGCGACAGCGCGACGGCCCCTCCTCATCTTCCTCGACCCAGTGGGCCAGACAGGCACGCTCATCTCAAGATGACGACTGGGACTGGTGGCAGCAGTGGTCCTGGCACAGTTACTCTCAGCAGTGGCCAAAAGGTCATGACCAGTGAGGGCAGGAATATGTCACAGACTCTTTGATCCCTTATGTCACAGACTCAGGGAATTCGGCACTCTTCCGACGCTTAGCAAATCTCTTCGGAAGCCTGTGAACCGCGTGCTTACCTCGCTTAAAACAGCACTTCGCTCTTCAGCGAGTTGCCACGTCCAAGCTGCCCAACGCCTCACTCCACCGGAGTTGTTTTCAGGTACATGTGGTCATGAGCACATGACCCTTACGGCCTTCTGTCTTCAACATGAGTAATCCGTGTGGGACGCCACGAGACGGATACTCCAGGTGTCGGCTTCGTCCGAGGTACGGCCTAATTGTTGAGACAGGTGCACAGATGGACGCGTCTGTTCACACCAAGGTGTCGGAGGAGGAAGCTTTTGTAGCAGTAGTCTGTCAAGTTCGAGCTGATTAGAGAGATCTGAGCGATGCATGCTAGAAGCAGTTTCACGAGTGCACGAGACCAAAGGCGCCCGCAAAGCGCAGAGCACGCTCGCGCAGCGTTCAATTGAAAAATCGTCGTCGTCGTCGTCGTCGTAGTCGTCGTCCTCGTCCTCGTCCTCGTCCTCGTCCTCGTCGTCGTCGTCGGGCTGGTGCTGGTGCTGGTGGCAGTGGTGGTGGTGGTGGTGGTGGTGGTGGTGGACAGCAGGAGCAGGAGAAGCTGCGACAGCATGAGGTGCGTCAGTTCCAGTTGCGGTGGTGGCGGCGATTGCTGCTGTTGCTGCTGCTGCTGCTGCAGCGGACACCAAGTACAATTGCAACTACAACTGCTGCACGACGACAACGCCGACGACTGTCACAACCTACATCATTCACAAGTAACTCAGAGATTGCAGTGCTGGTGCTGGTGCTGGTGGCAGTGGTAGTGGTGGTGGTGGTGGTGGTGGTGGTGGTAGACAGCAGGAGCAGGAGAAGCTGCGACAGCATGAGGTGCGTCAGTTCCAGTTGCGGTGGTGGCGGCGATTGCTGCTGTTGCTGCTGCTGCTGCTGCTGCTGGTGCTGCTGCAGCGGACGCCAAGCACAATTACAACTACAACTGCTGCACGACGACAACGCCGACGACCGTCAGTTCCAGTTGCGGTGGTGGCGGCGATTGCTGCTGTTGCTGCTGCTGCTGCTGCTGCTGCTGCTGCTGCTGCAGCGGACCCCAAGCACAATTACAACTACAACTGCTGCACGACGACAACGCCGACGACTGTCACAACCTACATCATTCACAAGTAACTCAGAGATTGCAGTGCTGGTGCTGGTGCTGGTGGCAGTGGTAGTGGTGGTGGTGGTGGTGGTGGTGGTGGTAGACAGCAGGAGCAGGAGAAGCTGCGACAGCATGAGGTGCGTCAGTTCCAGTTGCGGTGGTGGCGGCGATTGCTGCTGTTGCTGCTGCTGCTGCTGCTGCTGGTGCTGCTGCAGCGGACGCCAAGCACAATTACAACTACAACTGCTGCACGACGACAACGCCGACGACTGTCACAACCTACATCATTCACAAGTAACTCAGAGATTGCAGTGCTGGTGCTGGTGCTGGTGGCAGTGGTAGTGGTGGTGGTGGTGGTGGTGGTGGTGGACAGCAGGAGCAGGAGAAGCTGTGACAGCATGAGGTGCGTCAGTTCCAGTTGCGGTGGTGGCGGCGATTGCTGCTGTTGCTGCTGCTGCTGCTGCTGCTGCTGCTGCTGCAGCGGACCCCAAGCACAATTACAACTACAACTGCTGCACGACGACAACCTGTTGTGAGCCCGTCACCACAGGTGATCCGAAGGAGCTTCAGCCGCTCCGCGAGCTTCGGGAGTTCTGTGACCATTGGGGGCTTTGGCCTCGGAGAGCAGAGCGTTGGGGCCCTGCCCCTCCCCGCGGCCCACAAGCCTCGAGCATTCCAAGCTGACTTGGCAATGGAGTGATGAGCTTGTGGCTTTTGCTCACATCTTCGGCCTGCGACCCACTTGAGGTTTGAGGAAAACACCCGCAGATACCTCGTGGGCCTTCCGGCGAAAGTCCAGAAGGCCAGCGGAGCCACGTGTCGAGGATCGTTCCGCCGGAAATGCAGTGACACTCCAAGGTCGTGATAACCAATTTTGAAGCACCGCCTACTGTACAGTGCCATGCACCTATCAACAGTTGTCGCACAAAGACCCTGCGTGCATACGGCGATGCTCGTTGAAGTGCCTTAGGTGTAGATGCTCTGGTGCACAATTTCGCGAAGAGCATCCTGCTCAAACATGGCTACGCCCGGGCCGTGACTTATGAATGCGAGTTTCCAGCGTCTGGTGGCACCATGTTGTTCGTGACAAGCGACAGTTGTCTTTCTTTATTGCCAGAGCCGCTAATCAGGAGGATCTGGACATGGACCAGTTCGTTGCTCGTTGGTCCCACCGCCCTTCTGTGCCTGTTTGGGGCTTTGCGGAGGGGATGACGCAGCATAGAAGGCGAAAGGTTTGGCAAAGGTTATTCATGGTTCTCTTCCGAAGCTAGGCCATCTTGCCAAGCTGGCTGTGCTTGGTAGATGGACGGCACGGCTTCCCCTCTCGAGTTTGTGTTGGTCAGCACGTGTTCTCCCATTGCCGCATGCAATAAGCCTGTCAGTCTTGCTGCTGACAGCAGCAGTCGGTTGTCAGTGCATCGTCAGAAGTCTTCTAAAGCTCCCATTCGCCATGTCGCTGCATGTTTGATGCAAGGGCTTGTGTGCAGACTTTGACTTAAACTGGAGATTCACAGTATGTCGGATGAGAGGTTATGGCTCAGAGTCAATACGCAGTCGTACCTCAAAGGGTGCAGACACTGGAGTTAGAGCAGCAGCCGTCGTTCCCACAGTATGTGTGGACACATTCGAAAGTCTTGTGTGAGAGATCGAAACCACGCTGGATGAGTCGAAGCATGATGCATGACCAGCCAAAACACTGATGCTGACTGATGCTTGCTGGCCAACGACGAGGCACCTTTCGATTTTGACATGTCAAGGCAGCAGTCAAGCCGTTGCGAACGTAGCCTGCTCGTTGGTAACAGTGTGTATGTTTGCCTTGTGGCCGCGTGGTCCCGTGGCACTCCACGGGTGCTTGTCCAGCCTGCACGTGTACCGGGCGCTGCCGTTGCTGGGCTCATTTCAAGGGCGGCGAGCCAAAGGCCCCAAAGGCGGGAGCCCTTTGCAGCCACCATCATCCTGCAGTGCCCTTTTGCACTCTGCTGTGGACGTGAGGCCATGGAGGACGCCAAGCGACCGGTCTTTGGGGCCGAGGCGGAGCGTGCGGGCCCCGGAGGAGCGGAGAGTACGAGGGAGTCAATCTCAGGTGAGGCACTGTACCTGACTCCCTGACGGCCTGCATAGCGACGCCGAGGCATCGGCACCCGATTGGATGAGGCAACCGATGAGTTCCTCAAGGCCCCTAGCCGTAGCCACTGTCCTCGTGACTGCTCCCTGCCGATCAAAGCCCGGGGCAGGAAACGAAAAGCTGCCGGGCCCTGCAGATCCCACCAGGGCAAGATCAGTTGACCGCAATGGAGCCCTCCGGCACAAGAAAAGACAGGCAAACTTCGTGGGTTTTCAGCATGGCTGCATGCTATCTGGGCTCGTGTAAGGTATGTGGCCTATTTGGGCATCAACCTGCAGTTGGAGCCAGAACTTTCCTGGGTGGCGCGGGAGACTTCCTCAAAACACAGCTTGAAGCAAGGGTGCATGTGGACATGTTGATCTACATGCATTTCCACGGCCGTTGCCCTTTTCCGAGGAGATGCTTGCTGCTCCTATGCCACCTCAAGCCGAGATGAAAGTTAGCAAGGTGCACGAAAGTTGCTGATTGCACAGTGTGTACTCATTGTGTAGAGGATGGGCAATCACAGGGTTGGGATGTGTGCAAAACGACACGCGCCGTGGCCTTCAATTGCAGGCCGGTGTGTGTTACTTTCACGCTTCCTGGCCTGGAAGTAATTTGAGCTCGTCTGTGCTCATGAAATTCTATGCGCTTTTCAAAGCAAAACGAAGGATTTGCTCAATGATTATTACACCATCGAGCACCCCTTGACACAGAGGCGCAAGCAGTGTCAAAGCGGCACCCTATGCTAGGCCAGACAGAACGCCATCCTTCAGGTATCTGAAAGTCTTGGAGCGCCAGCGGCTAGACCTCTTGTGCCTGCGGACAAAGCCGTGCCTTACTCGGCAACTGACCTCGCCGTCCAGCTACCTGTGTCGCAGCCCTGAGCTTTCGACAGGTCTGTGAATGGTCTCCTTTTCTCACAGCCGGACATGCTCTTCAACAAACAGTGCAGGACTCAGTGTTGCTGCAAGTCACTAATCGCTTAGTCGTGGCTTCGAGACGCTGAGATCTGTAGTTGTTCTGAGGTTCCGCAACCTTCAGATTCCTTGTCAATCCTGCGGGGTGATGCAATCCACGCTGAAGTGCAACCAGCCATTCGGCCTAATGGCTTTGCACACTCTTCGTTTGTGCGGTTTGGTCAGTTTCGAGCCCTGCGGCCCTTTGTCCTGTGCCGAGGTGCCTCATGTCCTTCTGCCAATCTTGCGCGGATGCCCTGCACAAGAATGCGCTGGGTCCCAGGAGCCTCCTCGAATTTTCTGGAGTAAGCTCTTAAAGATCCCTGTGTGTTGGAGGTGAGTGGGGTGAGTGGGGTTGCTTTCCAGCCAGAATCTCGCAGCTGGCATGTGATGAGCCATGACGGCGCCTCGACTCGCCTTCGCAGTTCGGCTCGAACTTGGATTTCGGCTTGGATGCGCGATCATGCCGGAACGCCGCGTGGATCCAGACGACGGCAATGCGTACACGTCCCTCGGCGGAGTGAGGTCTGAACGCGTGTTTTTCAGGTTCGGGGAAAGAGTTCGCAATGCTGCAAGGTATGACGAGGTGCTAGCCCACTACAAGGCAGGGCATGCGATTGCATGGGCAAGATTCTGGGGGGGTATCTGTGTCAGGCAGAGGGCTACACCAAGAAAGAGGTGCAGAGTTACTGGGACCAGGCATGGAGCAATCTTCCATGACAGCCTCGTGCTTCTTGTTAGTATTTGCTGGCACAGTGGAACATGTCCAGGGAGGGGGGCTGCTGATATCAACTGTGTGCAGGGCTAGCAGGGCTTTCAATCGGCCTCGGATGTTCACTGAGATCCTCGCTTTTCTAGCTTCGATGGAGAGTGCACCGAAGTCGTCTTCGACAAGCAGCGTTTCTCAGCATGCGGGCGTGGTCAGAAGCAGAACTTCTGGTGTTGAAACGACACCAACATGCAAGCAGGATGTTATTCTGCAATTCAAGATGTCTCGAGTGGAGTCGGGTTCTTTCAACAACGATAATGCAGGCATCGTCCAGGTGCGCTTGCCATCGCTTGCCTGCTTTCCTGCTGATACCTCTTTGCCCGGCGAGCTCTTGCACCGGAGGTGTGCAAGCCTGCGAAAGAGACGAAGGAAACCAAGGCCTGACTCGTCGATTTCACGGAGACGCGGCACTGCTGTTGGCACTTGATTTGCAGGCTGCTAAAACAAAGGCCACACCTCCGCCGAAGGCAGGTCAATCCTGAATCCAAATGCGCCCGACACGCTGCATGTGGACTGCCTGTGTGCAGGCCAAAGCTGAGAAGCCGGGAAAGGCCAAGGCCGCTGTGCTTTGACGGGCGCTCCTTTCGTGGGGCAGAGGCGGGGTGCGCAGCTGAGGTCAAGGCCGCTCCGAAGGCGCAGGCGGCGCAGTCGCACGCAATTCGGGATTCAATAGAAGGAAAAAATCGGCAAAAAAGGGTCGAGGGTTTTGAGATCCTCTGCCAGAGGTGCAGCCGGAGGCAAAGCCAAAGGCTAAGGTGGGACGGAGCAGGACATGTTGTTAAGACTTGGAACAACATGATGACAGGCCAAAGCTTTGCGTGGTGCCAAGGACACCGTCGCAGAGGCACGAAGTTAGTGTCTACGTTGTGAAGCATCTCCCAGTGTGTGGTTCATCTGGCCTGCGAAAAGGACCCGTCCATGATGCGGACGAGCACGCGTCTGCCCAGAACGCGGGCAGTTCTCAAAAACATGTGGCTTGGCAAGGGGCGCAGAAGACGAGCTCCCGGCACGGTGCAAAGCTGAGGAGGAGACGGGACAAGGACTGGCGAATCGGAGCCATTGTGTACCAGCTCTTCGTGGACCGCTTCGCACCACCCGATGACTTCGAGGCGAAGAAGAAGCTGTACCCAGATGTCGCGGCCTCGGCGATGATCGAAAGGCTCGACTGGTAGGTGACTCCAGCTGGTTTCTGTGCTGGACAGCACGGCTTCGAAAAAGCTAAGCTAAAATGTAGACTGGCCTGCAAGTCTCGCCTCTCTTGCCAAGTCGACTCGAAGCATCTTGAGGAAGCCACTTTCCACGGCTGGAAGGAGCTGCCGAAGGGAGGACAGCTTGTGGAATCGGCTGGATATTACAGCTACTGGTGCAGCACATGGCCTCCGTCCGGAGTCCGGACTGAATGGAAGCAAGCGCCTTGAGGCAACGAGCTGGCTTTCTGGGGTGGGGACCTGCCGAGCCTCACCTCCAAGCTCGACTACATCGACGGCTTAGGCGGGACCGGACCCCTGAGCCTCATGGGCTGTGCCGGTGTGTCACCGGCGCAGGAATCGATGTGCTGTACCTGCAGCCGATTACCAAAAGCTATTCCAACCATAAGTACGACACCATCGACTACAAACAGTTGGATTCGCAGTATGGGACGGATGCCGATTTCAAGACGCTTTCCGACAAAGTCCATGACAAAGGCCTTCTGTCTGTCCTTGTGTGCATCTATTGCAACCTGATGGACACGTGAATGTGCGCCTTTTGCTCTGAAGGCATGAAGTTGGTGCTCGACTTCGTGTTCAACCACTGCGGCAAGCGATGTCAGCTTGTGCAGGAGGGTAGACAGCACAAGCCGCGTGAGTGTGTATGTGTGTGCCGTGTAAGCTGTTGTATTGCAGGATGCCCTTGCAGATGCATCCTCTCCAAAGAGGAAGTATTTCTTCATGGGGGACGAGTACAAGCCGCACGGATACAAGGCTCGTGGCATGTAGTCGGTGTACCCTTTTTCGACTTCAGAGCTTCCTTCCATGTGCGAAGCTTGCCCGTTGTTCTTATCAAGCAGAGCTCCTTCTCCAAGAGCTGCAGCACAACTCCATCCGGAAGAACTCCAAGACCTTGCAATGAAGTTGGTGCAGGTGTGGGGCTGTGCGCCGGCTTTGGTCGAGTTTGCCCTGGAAAACAAGGCCTACCTTGCCCGTAGGGAGCCACAAGTAGGAGACACCCTCCAACGATCCTGCTTGCAGCGAAGATTGTGCATACGGTGTACGAGCGTGGTATATGCAAGTGTGCGTGTGTGAGGGTGTGTGGATGCAGATGATATGTATGTTTGTGTCAATCGCCAATAAGAA